CCCGCACCCTGGTGAGATTTGTAATGTTCGAGTATAGATAACGTATAGGTCACATATTTGATATCAAGTATGTCGAAGACGACGAGACAACCGACTGACTCGAACACTTGAAGTCGAGAAGTATGATCATTGCCTACCCATTGATTGTTCGGCGCTGCTTTAGCACCTATCGCAAGGTGGACGTGTGACTGAAGGCACGCTATCCTTTTACTCTTACGTCGTACAGTACCACTACTCGTCACATGGAGTCCAACAAAGTCTTCGTCTCAAATCCATATCCAACACTAATATCCATTCGGAGCTTAATACTGGCGAACGTTTAAGTGGGATTTCCAGCTGAGTCAAAATGCCGTCTCCGTTGCCATTCGCGATAGATGCACATCGTCTTGACAATGGCAGCCACTTTCTTCCACTTTACGCGTACCATCCTCATCAGCTCAGCATTTGGGCACAAATGTTTGCACCTGGCTAGCTAACTCTCTTTGGTCCCATCCTGCATAGTTGCAGGTGGCGCCACTGGATGCAAGTTGTTGTCGGTATGCGTACCTTGATTTGGTTCGTGCTATTGCACGCATCCACAATAACCCCAATATTTTACCTTACTTGATAACTCACCGTTGCGATTGGGTGCTGGTCGATTGTGATCAGAACACCTAAAAACAATGTCAACCGTAGATCCCATCGTAGTTGCATTGGCCGGTTTGTCATGTGTTTGAACATCCGTTGCATGCAGACGACCTACTGCGGAGGTCTTTCTTGATTTGAATACCTTTTTATTTGATTTACGGATCCTGTCTGTTGTGTTTTCTACCTTTGAAATTCGTACAAAAGAAATTCCTTTCTTTTTGGCCACATTTTTGCCGTAAATTCCCGTAACATGCGGAATTCTACGAGGAGCCCTCTTCTAAGTGCTCCATAACAATTTAAGTGCATCAAGACTGCCTTATATCTTTTTTCAGATTTGTAATCAAAAAGCTCGTAAATCCTGCGATCCTACCCCATTTGATTTCTGAGCTAGGGTTCCTGTTGGGTGATGAAATGGCACACGTATGACACACGAATGATGTAACTCACTACTGGTTGCATCAGGCTTCCAATCAGGCGCTGTTGCACAGTGCTGTATACTTCGATACATACACTGCATCTTCAGAGTAGTTCACTTTACTGCTCAACTGAGTTGATATACCGCCTAGTAAGTACCCGAGCTTGTCGCTCGCTTTGCTCATTTGAATAGCTGTATCACTTCTAGTGGTTGAATCAACTCAGATGCTACGGCGCGCATACGGACGCTCGTGTGGTGTTTCAAAGGCTTAACAGACGATGGGGCAGTTAGTAACTCATTGGTCGGTGAGGGGATATACAGTACTTAGATTTGCAATGATTCGAAGTACCTGTAGCTCGGGTTGGTAATTATGGCCTTGATTGTTTCTCCGAGCAGAGTAATTTAATGGCAATCGTTTCATCACTTCGCTCAGTGGCATCTTCAGTGCACAGCTGCGTAGAGGTTAATCTCACGGAAAGTGTCGTCGGGACGTCCTGTTTGCAATTGGCCTCGTCGATCTATGTCCCGTGACCACTGTTCGCTCGATTTTCGCCCCCCCCATTTTCATGCTTCCTAAGCTGCAGGTACACTGGATTGAGGTCACTGCGGAGGTTCACTGAGTTCTCCGTAGAGACGAGGCTAGTTTCAAACAGTACCTCTCGACGACACTTTCCGTGAGAGTATCCTCTACACAGCCGTGCACCGAAGATGCCACTGAGCGAAGCGGTGAAATCTTTGCCATTAAATTCCTCTGCTCGGAGAAGCAATCAAAACCTTAACAGTACTTGGGTGTTGTTTTCTCGACTGTGAACATCACCACTGCTTGGTGCAGATATCAAGACTTTGTTTTTGACCGGTAATGTCCTCATTATTAGTTACAGCTGGTGCGATCGCCGAAAACTTGCTTCAGAAGCCCCTCATTTTGCATTTGGTATCAGACCCTCCAATACTACACTGGACCATTTTTTGAACTCAGTGTGCCTGCTCTATCCATTCACATCCTTCGTCTGTGTTCATTTCATATCATTCGTGATGGGAATAAATTGAGACATGTAATTTCATTATTTTTTCAGGTGCAGTTCCTGTAGTTGAATCGACTGAGGATAGTTTCGACGTAATTAGCTGTCGGCATTGAGAATGCTCGTGACGTACATACTTAAATGAACGAGTTACTTCCCTAGATGAACTTAACCGCCGTTTACACCCAATTTGAGTTGCGATAAGACCGGTGTTACCATTGTGATCAAAAGTTTGGCCACTTCGCACTGAAAGCATTACACGGTTGATCATCCTTGATCACCGGTGCTTGCAGAACACTCCAGACCAAAAATAGAGAGCTAGAAGATTTAAATCTGTGTTGCTCCAACGTACTTCGGTCGGACACGTTCGAGCAATCACGTCACTGATTACTTCACATTTGCAATACCGGGTAAAGTATTCAGGTTCAGAAAGTGCTGTTTTGCGGGAAACTCAGGTTTTTTATTAGAGCATCTGTTAAATTGAGCTGCTTACATTGGCTAGGTTATGCCCTCCATATGCTTGTTGACCGGCTTCCTTAACGTGCATTATTTGCTGTGATTGCATCAAGTTAGACGAAACCACGAGGTGGTCAGTGAACGACTTAGCATCAATGTATTAGGAAATTTGCCGAGGAACTTGGTCAGACTGGTGCATGACGTCTTCGTGGATGGGGACCTAGGATTTGTCCACATCAGTGGTTGGGATCTAGCTGTCAATATTCCACCCCGACTAATTTTTTTCACTCTTTCCTTAATTCCTTTTCCTTGTATTATGTTTGTGTTCCATCTGATTCTCTTACCATTGTTAATTATTGTTATTTTAGCGATGGGAGCCATGACAATTGGATCCACCATACTTCGCTCATCGGATCATAGTAGTTTTACTGAATTGAACTAGACCTAACTTGGACGCAAGTAACTGAACCTGCTGCGAGAAATCTCCTATTAGCAGATTAACTAACGCACATCTGCGAAGTCGGAGATGATTTTATGCTGGTATGATTATGGATTCATTTCACCGATACAGCATTTGTGATTCTCTTCTTTCACGATTCTCGCTTGATATTTAGAACTCAGGTGCTAAACTGTATAACAATTAGCTGTGCTTTTATCAGACCCTTTAGCTTAGATCCTGCGAAGAATGCCCTAGACATGACATTCCATATAAGAACACTGTTATGCTGAGTAACTAGACTCAAATAAAATATGGCGACTCATCAGTAATGACGCAAGTATAAACCTTCCAAATCTTTAAATGGATGTACGAGACACCTCTGTTTATTTGCCTTTTGTTCGTTGTCCACCGTTCCGAGGTACTGAAAGACATACCGTGCTGGCATATCGAAGTATCGTCTTTTGGTGTCTGTTAATAATAATAATGTGTCACCTATACGCCATAACGGCGCTTCGCTGACGTGCGACCACCACCAGTCGCAAGCGGGCGCGAGGACACCCACTCCTGCGCGGATTTGAACCCGCGCCGCAAGACTACGAGACAAGCTACGGGTTGACCCAGTATTAACTTTTGCCAGCAAACTCTTCGAAGCACACAGATCATTCACCTTTCTATGAGTAGTAATCTATCCTTCTATTGTTATGACTCACCGCATCTGATGTATTACCAATTCTCCATCTTGGACAGAGCCGATTTTCCTCTTTGATGCAAGAACACTCGCACACAACACTTGCAATTGTTTTGATGAGATTACGCAGGATTTTTGCATGTAATCGGATGATCATCAGCACTTGCCCTTTTCAGTCTTACGTGATGGGTTTTCCACTTGACAATGGGTGGCAAACGTTCCTGTCTACATTATCACTTCACTTATCCATAGGCTTGCCACTGCTTTCTTGGACTGAAACATTATCCTTCTTTTTGGCCTGAATGTTTGAACTCGACTCTTCTCATTGACACAAGAGCATTTTTACCCCTATTTCCCTGAAATTACCCCGATGATACTACACAAGACCTTCAGTCTGCATTTAGAGGATTAAACCATGCCATTTACATTATCGAGTAGGAAGTTTCATTTGTATATAGATGATCGGTTATCCTTCCACTTCAAGAAGATCACCGCTCTTTTACTGCGACAAGGTTCCTGTTTAGACACGATTTCGCCTTGCTGTCTCACCCTACCAATTGCAACAATTTAACTGATCAAGCAGATAACGATTCTTCTCCATCACATGCTTCATTATGATCCAGACATCAGTGCATTGGACGAACTTGTTGCTACGACGCCCAGTTGATGGCGGACAATTCAGCCATGGTTTTAAAACGCATTCTTGATCATACATTCCTGTTCCTCCATTCCTACTTACTTTTGTAGGTTTTTCCGACTATTTAAAGCAAGCTTCACCGAACCTATCTAATCTGGACATCCACACATCATCACCGCTACTTGTCAATATATTATCTGAACAGTAGATAAACACACGATATTTTATTCTTATCGAAAATGGTGTACTTAACAGATCATGTCTTTTTAAGCGTGTTTCGTGTACTTCGGGAATAAACCTATTTATTTATATAGGTGGTACATATACAGGCAGTATTAGATGCCATATGACTTCTTGTCTTCCATCTGCTATTGCTTTTCGTTGTACCTTTCGGTCCGCATCGTAGGCTACGCTTTGAACTCCTGTGTTAAATGCCATCTTACTCTACGGCATTACAGGTCTACCTCTGCACACTCATGTGTTGCGCGTCTTTCTTGATGATAACCATTGGATCACACGTATGGCCAATTTATTCTTGCTACACGATTCGGGCCGCATATTTTTCAGTCAAAAGTAGACCATCAGATTAACGTTCTTTCACAGAGCTGTCATTGCCCCACTCTCGGTTTTCGTCTTGCTAACTTTATCACTGTCCATATTAAGCATTTACTTGGTTTGCTAGTGTTTACACATATTTCTCTGTAAATGCTTTTTTCTAGGTGCGCATGGCTGCCTCAAAAGCAGTGCGCGTGTTTTTTGAGGTTCCTCCACCACCGGAACACACGATCGAGCAGGTGTTCCCGATTCTACTCCCTCCCATGTGTTTGAACCGATATTACGTTGCCGAGGGTCTACGTGTGTATAGTCAAGATACCTGGTGTCGTGTCACGAAGGGTGAAGGCAAGCGTCTTCTTAGTGACTACCTGGGTTCAGCCCTGGACTACTACATCAAACAGACCGATGCAGACAACCACGCTGTACGTTTGCATTGAAATTTTCCTGTTGTTTTCACACCTAACCTTGCTCGCCTTTGGCGTGCTGTTATGAGTAGTGTCCTTCGTTGTTATGCCTATTCATTATTTGCAGACCAACCATTTAACTGCAGGCCAGTTAAAGCGGTTTTCATTTTTTCATTCCCTTCACTTTCATTCTCCTCTAGAATTTTCCAAATGCTTACTTGACAGCTACACTTTGATATGCGATACCGACGTCTTTGTGAACAAGGTAGTAATATTCGCCTTATTAAGATGCTTTTCATGGATTTTACGCATTGCTGTTATCTACTACTAGGTTCGCGAGGCTGCTTGCGCAGTTATTGCTGAAACAGTGTCCAAGCTAGACGCCCAGTTGCTTCTGCCCCATATTGGTGTTTTGTTAGAGGCCCTGGTCGTTTGCTTTGGAGATGAAAGCTGGCCCGTGCGCGACGCTGCTTGTAGCGCTCTCGGCACATTACTCGCGACCTTTCCAAACGAGGCCAAAGCTGCTGGTTACAAAGACCTTATGGCAGAACACTTCCTCCGCAATTTATCCGACAGCATACCATCCGTTCGTGATGTTTCTGCGCATGCCATCGCTCGCATCCTCAAATCAGCCTCTGATGAGCAACTTTCGCAGGTGGGTCGCTTCTTTTTATTTCGCCACTCCTTTACCCCTCTCTTATTTCTGCTCTTCAGGCTTTATACTATCCTTACTTGGGTTTTTTAGTTTATTAAAGCCTCTTCCCTCCTCACGGTTTGGCCCCTGCTCTGAATTATGTATCTCGGGTTCCTCGAACTTTTCTCTCTCTCCGAGCCACGTTGTCCGGTCTCTTTAGTCACATTCTCTATAAAGTCGAAACTTCTTGCACCAGCTGGATTATCCCCCATTCATTACTTGGTGTCCGTCTTCCCGCCTAGTTCCACCTTTTCGAACTAGTAAACGTTATTCTTGCTTTATACCGTTGCATTCCACAACGAGTTTTCTTATTCATTTGGTTTGTTTGCGTGCACTTTGTGTCTCATGGTTACTGTTAGGGTTATCTTTTCCACCCGCTCTCTGCACTTTGCGAACCCAGTCGTGAGTTCGGTCTCGTAAACTATTTTACTCTTTAGAACCACGTTTACAAGAGTATATTACAAATTCGTTTACTCCGACCGTTAACTGTGTGGACCATGTATATAGTCTAGGTTTACAGTTCTTAGTCGCATTACCTGTTCATATTTCGTGCGACGTAATTAGACTTAGTATGGTTCCGTTGTTACATTCCTCATGTATACTCACAGCTCTGCCCACTTTTTCAAGTAGGGTCCGTGCGCCCACATACGGTGTATCCAGTTACTTAATCAGTCCTAGGAGCAAATACATCTCATCCCTATAGTTTGGGTGGCATTTAAGAGCCATCGGAGGCACTCGGGCTACACCAACGGATACTTGGAGGTCAGGTATACTCATGTGTCGATGAAGCGATGGGCTAGATCAATGGCTTAACTTCCCCAAAATTCTGCCATTGGAGACAACAGCCTCCGACCCATGCACATAACTCGATTTGCGCAAACCATTAACACCATGGATTGTCTTTAGCAGCGGAAGACCCCACCAATTTTCCCCGCGGTTACATTCCATTTTAATAACTATGTTCCGTGCGGAGTTGTGGTGAGTCCAGGTGGTATTCTGACCGATGTTGTCAAAGCGGCGATGATGATAATATTAACCATCCGTCGTAGCATTATTGTTGCTAGCAATGAGGATACTTATTTTACGGTAGTGTGTACGAAATTGATCCATCAAATATAGTAGTAAAAAGCCATAGCTATGTAACGTAGTAGGGCTCATCATTGACTTTGTGACCACTTGGTGTTCCATGACTGGACCCGAACATCTCACTGAGTATGGTGCTGTCTCGGCGAAACTGGGTCTTAACGTGGTGCGATGCTATGTGCACCTTCAAGATCTATTTAACCATGCTGAATGGTGCTTTTCGCACTTTCATAGCCACTCATACTCGTATATTTGGTGGTTGGAGTCCAGACAAGCTCAGTCTACTTGCCTTCCAGATCGCAGTTCGAATTGACGATGACTTCTTACTCTTTGCATCGGACTTTGTAGTCCCTGCCAAAATCCCTCTGTCTTGCGGTCAAATTTCTGAACCAGTAAGTCTGCTTGATAACCTTAATCGCTCTCCTGTTTAGGCCTGGGCAAGCTGATAGTATCTAGCCCAGGTAAACGGAGAACATCTATTCAAATATTTTCTTGATGCCCTGACTGTTATCGGTTAGTCGGTCGTGGATTTTGAGCAATACCTAGCACACCCGGCTCAATTCAGAAGTCAAAGCTGGAACTGCGCCAGTGATATTATTTCACAAAAGGTTAGAGCAGCATTTTAGTGATACACCTCAACAATATCCAGTCTACTAGTTGTACAACAATCCTGTGCTCAGACGGCAATTGACGTAAGCTGAAGCAGCAGACAGCAGGTACAACCAATCACAAAGCCAAGTAAGAACCTTGTAGTTAGACGTCATCTGAGACAACGCGGTCGATAATCCAGTTGCTCAATCTACGCTGTACGTGTAGGACGAGGGGTAAATTTACGGACTTGAGTGATCACGGCGTGTGATCATCAACACTAGTTAAAACTGAGAATACCAGTGAATGAGGGTCCACAGTATGTATGACATTAAACGTGTAGTGAGGGGCATATAGAGCTGTGGTTAAAAGATGTTTACAGGAGTGTGGGGGAATGCTTCAAGTAGATGGTTGAGCTTAGAATACTCTAGGCAAAATAGGGACGGGAACAGCGATATAGCTGTACAAACGAAACGTTCGTACTACTGGCCGTTGCCAAGGGATAATCAACGAATCTTACGGTTTTCCTCCTTGTCGTTCCTTCCCAACTTCGTTTTTATCCCCCCACTTTTCAGCCTCTTATTCTTAGTCCTCATATTATACTTCGATTGGCATTTCTTTTCCGGTTGCGATTCACACGCATTTGCAAAGCGTTACTAGTACCCGGTCGAATATTCCATGTTTACTCGAGTGAACAAATTCAGTTCATCCGTTTTTACTTAAAGCCATCAATCCCCGCTAACACTAGTATGCCACAACATGCGCACTTTATTGCACATCGATCAATTGGCTGCGCTTGCCCGAACATTAGTGACCCTGTCGATCGCTACCTGTTGCTTATGGGAAACCCGTCTGCAAAACGAGTTTTGTGCCCAATCTACTATCCGCTTCATGTGACGCTGGCAGTGTTTTCTTACTGCGACTATCCGGATATAGTGCAATTTGAAATGCCAGATGGTATTCCTCTGGGCTGTCGTACTGAAGCTGCTCTGGTCGACTGGACCCCAAGCCGTAGCCGGATGTGCTCCATCCGACTGGCTGACTCGTTCAATACTTCGAAATAGCGTGGGGCTAATAGGTGCTTACTTATCGTTGCTGCATACGCCTTCGCAATCTGGGCGTTTACTCGGTGATAGATAACTTCTATCACCATCTAATCGAGCTCCTTCGTCAACGATACAGTACGTATACACTAGTGCTTGCTGGCAATTTGAACGTTCAAATTAGAAAACTCGAATGATGAGTTGCATCTGCGTGGCTAACACGATGTGGGCTCCCGCAATGATAACAGTGAACAGTTACTACACCTGTGTAAGAATGCTCTTCCATTACTCATGAATATTTACTTTCGACAGCACTCGCATAAGAGTGACTTGGCGCCCACCGGCCTCGGATTAGATGTGGACCCAAACCGATCACATTGCAATCATTTATAACTGAGCAGGTTGTGCCCAAAATTGTTGCTCTATTTACAACTCGAGCTTGGATTCCGACCACGCATTTTTAAGTACTGACCTGCGAGTTTGTTTCGGCGGACACCTGCGGCGACGCTGTGATCTCATTGACATCAGTTAAATGGCGAAGCCAGGTGTTCTAATGCGTATCAAAGTGTGTTGGCACGCGAGTTGAGTAAGTGCACACTGAACACAGTTGAGGGTCATTGGTCGCATATCTGCCACTCGTTATTGGCAGCAGGCATTTTCATGTGCCAAATCGGATTGTAAACTTAGACTTTTGGTCTCTACGTAGTCTCTGGAAATTCCGTATGCTCACTTACACATTCCGGTTGGAGGCAATTACAAAGATACTCGCTATGGTCTCAGGACTAAATTGCATGGTAGCCTTAAAAAAGACCGCGAAGCCGGGCGATACCATTGTGCGTCGAAGGTGGAAACGGCCGCTGTCGATGGTAACCAACAGAATTTAATCCGTTTGATGCGTGAAACGCGCGGCAGAAGAACTTGCGTTGGCGAGACTATATTTGACCAGAGGAGATGGCCTGTCCAAAACCTGTCTAAACACTTCATGCATTGAGTTGGACATTTTGAAGAGCAATTTAATCTGCCAAAGCTATCACAGATTTGTTGCCGGTCAGTGATTGTCTTACTCCCGTCATTCTGGATCAGTTCCTGTGCGGAAAACGAGCGTGAGCTCCGACGGTTGAAATTGGATAGTGGCGCAGGACTAAGTGGGCTTCCTTCAATCTTTTCAAACTAGGGGAGCTGCTGTTGATTTATTATTGCAATTCCGGGCCCAGTAAACTGTTCCAGTCGTCTGGAGCTGCTCCATCGTGGTGGCTATTTTCAAGGGATGTTGATGTTCAGGATGCGTCAGTCTTGGTTTCCACTAACGATCTCACGTATTTCATCGAGTTGAATTTTTTGCTTTTGCCGATCATATCAAGATATGGCGGGTGATCGGTAATCAGAAAGATCAGCAACTGGTGCATCGAGACCTAGGCCGTGCTTTTGAATGGCAAAGGCCATTCAATAAGGACAAGTGTAAAATCGTGCATGCACATCACAAGCCCGAGAACACATATAGGCTGGGGGGGGGCACATCTTGAAGATCGCCTTACTGGAACGTGAACTCGAAGTGTCCATGCAAGACGACGTCGGCTGTTCTGAGCAATCCTTGAAGGTATCCACAATCGGGAACTATCATGCTTGTCTGGCGCGAAGGGCGTTCGGGCTATTTGACCCTTTTCTCTTCTTGCAAATAAGTTCTGTGTTTGTGGGGTCCCATGTGAAGTACGGCATTCGGACCTGGTAACTCTGATTAAAACTCGATCCGGTTGCGAAAAGCAACGAAATACGTTATGGTCTTGTTTCCTTTGCCATACCAACTACGACTGAAAGCCATAAGACTGTACAGCGGAACTTGTTGCCGTCTACGTAGTGACCCATTTCGGATGTATCATTTCTTCTAAAAACCTTAGTCACGTTTGCCGCTACCTAGTTAAACCTAGCCGCAGCACAAAACTGAGGAGCAACCAGCTGAAACCTGCCACCCAATACAGCCGGCTGGAATGCCGTCGAAATTCCCCCTTCCAACTTTGTCAGCCGCGAAACGCTTATCGGATTTTTGTCATATCTGCGCTCACGTTACTCATTTTTCAAAAACCACTTGACGACGCATTACTCCATTTGTATCACATGACGTAATTTTCACTCAAGGCGTGTCGACAAGACGCAAACAAACATCGTGCTCACCATCCCCCACGAAGTCCATTAGACGGGTTTACCTGTGTGTAACGTGGTCCCTCTGTAGATGCTGGTGTCCTGTAGCTG